CCTCCCCACCTCCGCCGCGGTGCACCCCGCAAACACGGTTGTTTCTCGAACCTTCCACTGTTGTCTAGCGGGTGTAACTAAAATACAAGATGTCGTATTTATATATATAAATACATATATATCTATATATATAGATAATAAGTGTCAGTACGATTTTATTTTGTATTTGGGTGCATTTCTTGTTCGGAAAGTGGCGCTGTACTGATAGTGGTGATTTTATTTTGGATTTCTTAGCGTGCACTTCCTGTCCTGAGAGTGGAGGTCTGCACCGGAACTGTCCTGAGAGTGGAGGTCTGCAGGCAGACCCCTCTCCCATTTCATGAAGTGAAGGAGGTTTTACAAATAAAAAAATATAGCTCTACACCCCTGGCCGCAATGTCCTTAAAATGAAGTCCGAGTTGGAAATATATCTCATAATGTATGCACTGCCATTTCCCCACATAAACATAATAGTCCACGATTAAACGGTTGTCTCCTGCGCTCCACTTCCTATTGGCGCACCGGTAACTTTCTCTGTGCACGAGAGGCTGAGACCTTATGCTAACCAATTTTGATTTATTTTGGATGTTTTGGATGAAATAATATGACTGGTATAGGTGCGAAAATAAAATTAAAAAATTTGATTAAATATTTTTAAATATTTATAATTCTGCAAATATTACGATAAACTCACAGCTATTTTGCGGCCCGGCAGTAACACCGGGGTTGGGAACCCCTGCCTTAGAAGCCTTATACGAAATAGAACTTGCTGATCGTTGGTGGATCTGAGCCAAGCAGTAAATAGACATAGACTCTGAGTACTTTGCCGGAATAAATTATCAGCCCTCCTGACTCCCAAGAATAGTCTTAAATAACACAGCAAATAATCCATAATACAAATAGATCTGTAGTTACCTATAGAAACAACATTTTTCCTCTCCTTTAAGTAGGATTCAAACAAATTTAGAACTGTTCTCGAAAGTCCCACCCGGTGTTCCAGTCGGTCTAGCAATATGTTGTGGTCAACAGTGTAAAATGCAGCACTGAGATCAAATCTAACAGTTATATTCTGCCACTGTCTGTTTAAGTGGATGTCATTGAAGACCTTAACAAGAGCAGTCTCAGTGCTGTTGTGCGGACACAAACCTGACTGGAACACATCGAAACAGTTATTTAAATGCTAGAAATTAATTTTCAATGATTTTACCTAGAAATGGGAGGTTTGATATGGGCCTGTAATAGCGGAGCAACAAAACTGAAATTAAGAAACAGTTTTGGCGCACTATGCATGGGGCCCCCTTGAGGGGGTTTCCCGACATGTCGTTGCAGTAAATTATTTGTAATTATCTTTTTATTTTTCATTCCTTACAGGTTAACAAGCAGACATATACGTAGACAAGAAAAAAAAGACAAATAAAAACACAAAAGACATCACAACAGGGCTATTTATCCCTTGCTCGCAGGCAAGAGCTCTTTAACAGTCATTAAGCAATCCTCCTTTTTTTAAGCTAAACAACATCTGGCCTTTTGGGCCTCACCAGGTCCCGCCATCCCTTCCACCTCTTCTCAAATGTTCCACTCTGTAGTCTCAGTGCATATGTCAACTTTTCCATTATATATATCTGATGAATCACGTCCATCCACTCTCCCTCCGTCGGGACCTCTTGGCTCATCCACTTCCTTGTTATAGATGTGTTGGTTGCCACTCTTAAAATGTTAAAAATGTACTTATTGTCGTTATCCATTATATCGAAGTCTACTTTCCCCAGGTACATTACTTCAAATTTCAGTGGTACATTTGCATTAAGCATTTTTACCATATAATTGTGGGCCTGAGTCCAAAGAGGGATTATGGATGGACATTCCCAGAACAGGTGAAAGTGGTTGGCATTCACATTACCGCATTTCCTCCAGCAGTCCGCTCCAGTTTCCCTATACTTTTTTTGAGCAGGCGTGATGAAGAACCTGACCGTGTTCTTCCATTCAAACTCCCTCCAGGTCTGGGAATTGGTTGTTTTCCATTGTTGTTTACATATTTGTCCCCATTCTTCTGTCGTAATAGTAACATTTGCTTCTCGCTCCCACTTTTCCTTGAGGATGTATCTGTCAATTTCGAGTTCTGTAAACCATGATATATTTGTGCTATTAACCTTCTACACTGTTGAAGGATAAAGATAAGGCAAATGTGGCAGTGAATATAAGATATAGTGGGCCTATCATGGAAAAGCTAAGACATTGAGCTGTCTGAGTGGAAAAGTACAGTACTGTGTTAAAGTCCAACTGCTGAGAAGCCTCAGTGGAAATATACTATGTGAATACTGTGTGCAACAAAAACGCGGGGTCAACCAGATTAAGAACAGAGGCATCCTGTTATGTCCAAACTGATAAGCCACAAGGTTACAGAACTCATTATTTTCACACTAAATCACCCACCAAGCAGGCGCAATAGTTCACAAGGGCAGTCTTGTGAGTGAAACCAGATAAGGAAGTGAGTGAAAGCAAATAAGGAAGTAACAAAAGCGCGCCGCAGGCTAACCTAAGAGTTGCTAGGGTAGCAACGGCAGATTACACCACAAGAAAGCAGCGAAGGTGGGGGCTCCGCTAGGAACAGTATATAAGCAGGATGTATTCAGTACTCGAGGCTCTCTCTTCAACTGGGATCTTACACTGACGAGCTTGTCACGGTGAGAACTCAAGAAGAAGGAGTCCAAGGCGCTTTGTGGTATAGTATCAGATTGATGTATCTTTGTTGAACTGTGTAATAAAGTGCTTATTTGAAGAAACAATCCATTGGAGTGCAAAGTCTAGTTTTGTACAGCTAACAGAGAATAGTGTCTAGGACACAATTCCTTTTCCCTCAGAATTAAGAAACGGTCATCGGCAGATCCGGACAGCGACCCCGCTCTAGCCATATCCAAACGATCTGCGCGGAGGACGGACCTGGTCCGGTAGACTCCAACACTGTTCCGAATTGTATGCATCTACAAATACCCTCAACACGCCTTGTTCTATATGTACTTTTGTGATTTTCTGGTTCAAAAAATTGCCGTATTTGGAGATACCTGTAGAAATCATGCTTTTCTAGTCCATATTTTAATTTGAGCTTTTCAAAGCATTCTATAGTCCCCTTGGTATACAATGTGTAGTAAAATGTGAGTCTCTTCTGCTTCCATCCCTCGAATCCCCCCTCTACTCTATTTGGGATCAAGTCTGAGTCATGTGCGCACCACCTCAACAACCTCTTTTAAGTCTTTTACCTTTAACATTTCGTTCCATATCTGTAGTGGCAACCTGATCCATGGATTGTCTATGTCAGTCATGTTCCCCATCAAGTTCCCATCTCCAATCAAAGCCTGCAACGGTACTCCTTCAACCAAGTCACTCTCTATGTCCTTCCATTTTGCATTGTAGTCGGGGTTTCACCAGCATACTAAGGGTCTTAATGAAGCTGGATTGTAGTAGTCTTTGAGGCAGGGGAGAGCCATTCCCCCTTTCTCTTTCGGTAGTTTTAATGTTTTGAGTCTGATTCTGGGCCTCTTCCCCTGCCACACAAATCTAGAGATCATTCTGTCCCACTCGGAGGTTGCGCTAGACTTTTTCGCTGCCCGTCATTTTGACGGACAGGATCGTAAAACTTCCGTCAAAATCCAGAATTACCCGTCGGCCTTTACCCAACTCTGACGAGGGGGGGGGGGGAGAAGCATGCTCGTGAACTGTCAAGGGGGAGAGGGGGGGGGGGGGGGAACAGTTATGTGTTATGTGTGTGTTATGCATGGCTGCTGCACCTCGCGGGAGCGTGCACAGCGTGAAGCCAAAACTCCCAGACATTTCAATGATTTGTACGGCACAGTTAGGTTTGGAAACGGTATAATTTCCTTTTTGGAGGGCATGCATAACACGGCATAACACCGGAGCCTCGCAGCGGGGAAACTTTGGCGCTGTTCCGAGTTTGTTCTACTCTGTCAAAATGACGGAGTGCTTTCAGATTTGTCCGTCATTGTTAAAAAAATCCGTCATAGATGGAAAATATTCGGTTAACGCGACCTCTGGTCCCACTCTATGAATTGTTTCTCAGTGACTGCTACAGGAAGTGTCTGGAAGAGATACAGGAGCCTTGGTAGGACATTCATTTTCACAGAGTCTATTCTAGAGCTTAGGCCCAGAAAAGGCAACAGGTTCCACCTTGCTATGTCTGCTTTAAATGATCCTGTTTTTATACATGTAAGACCATTTTAATATTTTAGTTTGTCGATGTGGACACAATTTATATAAGTGAAATAATGTGTAAATTAGAAGTACAGTATTGCATACCAATATGAGCATATTATTTGTATGTACAAAGTAACTAGTATTAACTAGAGTGTTAAAATAAATGTACTGGAGTAAATAGTATGATATTCACCTCTGCAATGTAGAGGAGTAGAAGAATAAAGTAGAGACAAATTAAAATACATTAAGTATAGTACTAAGTAAAGTACAGTTATGTCAAACAATTACTTAAAGGTTAGGTAGGTAATTCACTTCAGAAACACTTTTTGTTATATTGCATGGAATGCTCTTAACATCCCGATAGCAATAAATATATACAAATATTTTATCTGTGGAAGCCATGGCGCTGTAAAAAGCAAGACCAATTATCTGCCGAGGCAAGACGAGATGGATGGCCTACCTGCCTGTCAGCCTTCCATCTCGTGCACAAACTTATCTCGTGCCCTCATTGGTCATGTGCGCGTTGGTGTGTGTTGGAGGAGGGGCTCTGCAAGGAAGTCTGAATTAAGGAGCAGATTTTTTTCGGTTGTGTACTTTCAGATTCTACCTTAGTCGAGCTGGTTTCTCCATTCTTACCTACCCTACCTTTAAAATACAATACGAGTAAATAAACATAGTTTCTTTCCACAGCTGGTTAAACTTGTGATCAACCTGACAATACTGGTTTGGGTGTATTCATTAGGAACATAATGACTGTTTATATGTTGCATATGTTATTTGTTTCGGCAATAAACCAACACAGGGGGAACTGATGCTGTTGAACTTAGACTTTTATTTGGGAAGATAACAGTATTTGCTCAAACGATATTTACCAATATCAACAAACGCTAAAATAAAATACTGATGTAAATTACATGACAAGATAAAAATGTCCATTTCAGTAAAAATACATTTAAAGAAACAAAGCATGTTGTACAGCAGTGAAGAGTGTGATGCTGAAGCTGTCTCGCCCTGAATCTCCTGCTGTAGAGGAAGCTCGAGCATTAGTCACCAGCCACAGGGGTCCTCCGAGACAACAACACACCTCAGGCCCCCAGACCCTAAATTCAGTTGTTTCTTCAAGTTTGATGATGAGATTTGATTCACAGAAACCATCAATGACAAAGAAAAAAAAGATGGATCTCACTCTTGACATATGTGACCCGCTCTATCCAAATCAGTCGGATGTCGCACATTGGGTTTTTGGTTGATTCTAAACAAAGTCTTCAGAATATCGAACTTGTCGTATCATATTCAGACGATGAATACTTTTCTGAAGCTTGTAAAAACAGGGTGTCAACTTCAGCGATCACTGTCTCCTCTCACTCTGATCAGCCTCCCTGAAATATTAAATGACAGGCTGACAGTAACACGACCGGGTCCGGGACAGGGGGTGGTCATCTGATCTTAAATATAAATAAAAGCATGGCTTTTCAGAATATTAGAATATTATAGCCGAATTCAGATGATAAATACGGAATCAATGATTGAAAATATCGGACTGAGCATTAGGCATTACAACAGGCCATGTGTTTCACTCCTCTGGCCGAGGAAAATAAACATCCTGGTCCTCGATGCTAATAGATTAAAAATGAGTTAGCCCACGGGTGCATCTCCATGATCTGTTGCACATCATGAGAGGGACAGCCTGCTAACAAGCTTTGGTGATGTTAGAAATTAAAATCAATATTGAATGACGTAATTTAGCTTAAACAAACAGTAAGTTTAAAGCTGTTTTATTCTGAAAACAGTTCCGGTTAAAGTTTACTTTGAAAAGCTGTATTGAAAGACGTTGCCGTTGACAACAATGACCACTTCCGGTTTTACGATAACATCGATTACAGCCGTTAAAACGCATTAAATAAAAAGTCATGAAAGAGTGAATAAGGAGAAAAGGCGTGTGAAGTGATGCAATGAATACACAACGTCTAAATCCTCATGTTTTACGCGATATCGGACATAGAAGACCGAGGCGGGTGGATCCCCTGCGTCTCCGGCCGCCATTGAAGAGGAGGAGTCAAATGACAAGAATATATAGAGAGGTGACGGAGCTTTGTGCTCACGCTTCCGACCGGAGCCACTGCGAGACAAACAGCTGCTCTGTCTCCTCCAACTCTTCTGTTTGTTTCATTACCACGCTACTTAATTAAAGTAACCAATTTGAACCTTTTCGAGACTCCATTAGTCTCTTTATGTTAAGCTTCTCTCCTGGGACGCGAGAGAACCTACACAATTCAACAGTGACAAACAAAGATTTCAGAATCACAGCTTATCCAGAGGTGGTCCTAAGGGGAGGCCAAGGGGTACTATGCCCCCAACATATTAACCCCTGTGCCCTCTTTTTAAATGTTGTCTGCAAACTTTGAAGGCCTTTTTCTCAGCCTCCTGTCTTGGTAACAGTTACCTGGTATGTGAAATATTTTTTGCTGATTATTTAAGGAAAAACAAACAAGGATATCATTGGAAAGCTAAGAATCTCCACTTGTGACTGATTTTGATAGAGCAGCTCTCATGCTGAGAGAGGCCTGTATCCCCAGACTGGGCACACGTAAACAGAGGCATGGATTATGGAGGATATGTAGTTGCAGGGCACCCCCCCCTACTGGAAACCAGCTGCTCAGGTCAGGGATCAGACAGGGCAGGAGCACCGCAGTGACACGGTAATGACAGCAGCTACCTGTAAAACACAAGCAGAGCAGACAACAGGCATCAATCACCTAGCAGTCAGCATCCCCTCGTGCTTAGCCTTTCTCAGCAAGCGCTGGAAAAAATGCTGCTCCAAAATCAAGTAAAAGAATAATAAAAACAAGGTTCTTTCACTTTTAATGAATACATATTTTTAAATAAATACATCTGCCAATAGAACAAGTGAAAATTGCTTGGTAAGATTTCTTGAAATAAAATAGGATATTAAGATAAACTAGAGCAGGGGTGCCCAACCAGTCGATCGTGATCGACCGGTCGATCGCGGGGAGATTCCCAGTCGATCGCGAGATGTGTCTAAAAATAGAACAACAATATTCTGTTTTATCGTTAATGTCCTATAACATCATCTTCCTGTGCCAGAATAATGTACTTGAACGCATCAAAGCTTTGTGATTGGCCGGCGTGACCCCATGTGTCTGGGCGTGGCTGTTGGGCAGTGGGCACTATTTCGCTGATGTTGTCCGTGTCACACACACAAGACCGCAATTATGGCAGAAGCAAAGAAGCCCAAAATATATAATTTTGTGGGAGGATGATTATTTTTGTATCTATTCCAATTCAAAGTCCATCTCTCTCATCTGCAATGCGAGCGTGGCTTTATCGAAGAAGGGTAATTTAGGAGCGGCATTTCAAAACAGTGCACAGTGCGGGCGTTTGGAGCAGTTTCACTGAAGTTATGAGAAAGCCGGCGAGCGTTGTGTTGCCATGGCAACGGCATTTGAAGAAATCTCAAAACTGTCCCGTAGATGTATTCACGGCTGGACTGTTTGCACACATGTGAAGTTTGAGCACTTTTTGAACATTTTCATAGGAGTTATAGCGACATCATGTTTCCATGGAAACGGCATATGGTGAGATCACAGATTTGGCCTAGAGCTGTTGAGGCATGGACCGGTGATATACAAGTGAAGATTGGGGGACGATTGGACCTACAGCCACATCGTGTTTCATGGCGAGTGGTCTGTCGCAATGGCAACGGCATTTGATGACACCCCATACTACACTTAGATGCGTTGATGGCTGCATCGTTACCAAACCTGTGAAGTTCTGGGCTGTTTGGAGTATTTTCACTGAAGTTATGAGAAAACCGTGTTTCAAGAAGAGCAATGTGTTGCCATGGCAACGACATTTGAAGAAATCTCAAAACTGTCCCGTAGATGTCTTCACGGCTGGACTGTTATGCTGCGTTCAGACCGGACACGATGTGATGTTTGGGGGCGGCGCGATTACATGTAAAGTCAATGCAGAGACGTGGACAGATGCAAATTCGCTCCGACGGCGAGCATGAAGCGGTAGACGCGGCGATTGAACTGTCAAACGCGAGAGTTCCATTTTTTCAACTCGAGCGTCAAATTCACGTGACGCGTTCTCGCGGAAGCCAATCAGCGGTGAGGATCTCAGCCTGCCGTTACTGACGTTCAACCAGAAAACATCAGCCATTAGCTGTTAGCAGTTAGCACACAGAGATCACAGCTCCTCATATCTGTTCAGAAACTGGACAAAAGTTAAACAAGTACAAACCACAGACTGTCTGTGTCATGGTGAATACAGTCACTGGTTTATTTATGTCTGTAGGCCGTTGTTATGAGTGTGGAGTGAGCATATACAACATTAGCTTAGCCTGGTCAACCCAATCTCCATTCAGAAAACAAGCATTTTAAAAGGTTTTCCGCCTGCCGTCTTGTCTGCAGACTTGTCAAGCATTAATTCATAATAATAATAATAGATTTAATTTGTTAGTGCTTTTACAGGTGCTCAAAGACGCTTTACAGATATAGTGAAGAGAAAATAAAATAAAGGAACAACAAATAAATATATAGTTAAAGTTAAAGTCAAATAATACAAAAACAATCACAGATTAAAAGCCAGATTGAAGAGGTGAGTTTTTGTAAGTTTTTTGAAGGTGGTGTTAGAAATTAAAATCAATGTTTTGATGGCATAATGTACCTTCAGTTTAAATGCTGTTTTATACTGAAAAACCAGAAGTTCTTGTGCACAACCAGTTGTTAAGCTTTTATTCTGAAAATCCTTCATCTCCGGTTAGCATTTAGCATGAGGCTAATATACCATTTCCTATAGAGGTGAATTTAGCAGCGATATGATATGATGTTGCACACCGAAACCTACTGATTTCAACACTACAACTATAGACGTCGAGATAATATTATTGTTGGATATTAAATGAAGGTACAGTTTATTTGAGTACGTTATTGTTTACAGATGTGGGTAGCATGTCACAACATTCGGAACGACCAGCAACCAAATTGCTGTGAAGTATTTCCTGTATTTTTTGGAGTATTGATTACAGCGTTTAGAATGTGTTAAATGAAAAGTCATGAAAGAGTTAAGGAGGAGAAAAGGCGTGTTTAGATATATATTGAATGTACAATGTCTGTATCCTGTGATATGCGTAACAACGGACATTAAATACGTGGAGAGCCGGCCCCCAGGGAGGAGCCAGGAGAGGATATATAAACAACGAAACCTGAGGGGTCGGGTCTCTTTTTTTCTGCTAGCGAGAGCCAGGGACAGCTGCTTTTCTGTCGAACAATATCCTGTTTGTGACTTTACCGCGCCTTTTTATTATTAAAGTACCAAATTTGAACCTCCAGAGACTCCATTTAGTCTCCTTTTTAAGCTTCTCTTTCCTGGACGCTGAGAATAAGAACACAGTTAACAGTGGTGAGGTCAGTGCAGTCTCTGATGGGTTGTGGGAGTGAGTTCCAGAGGGAGGGGGCAGCGACGGAGAAGGCTCTGTCCCCCCAGGTCCGGTGATTGATGCGGGTGGGGATGGTTACAGGGCTGGACTGGCCATCTGGCATACCGGGCATTTTCCCGGTGGGCCGACGTGCCTTTTCGGCCGACACGTCATTTCGTGCTGATGCTGCCGCTTGTGTCAAAATAACCGACATGTTGAGTACAGGTGCAGGTCCATCTTCAGCACCCGTGGCCGATATTGGTGGTGAGGAAGATGATGAGAGGGAGAGAGATCAGCGCGAGTGGGGAGAGGGAGGAGAACTCGCGGTAAGCAGAAGCTAAGACAATTAGGAAAAGATTATTATTATTAAGGTTATGATACTCTGTAGTTCTGGAACCCATTAATATCCCCTTGATGAAGCACTAATAAGACAAATATTATAAGAGAAACATTCGTTAGCCTACAAGCTAGTAAGCTGGCTTTTTTAGGTTTTCCCTGGCAAGTTAAAATATAGCTTAATGGGACTCTGATACGTTGTCTCATTGAAAGAATGTCATTATTTTGTTAACCACCATTCATGAACAATTATTGTCAGCTGGCAGCTTGTTTAGTTTAGTTTATTTACTTATTTGGTTATAAGGGCAACAGTGGTCTTTTGGGACCTGAAAAAAACGTTTATAGCCAGCTTTTTGTGGTATTTTTGATTGACAATATATAGAATGAATAATATAGAAATAGATTAAAAAAATGGAGGCACACATGTAGTTTTGACCATTAACTGTGTGGTATTGTTATGTCAATGCCTATTTGTATGGACCTCTATCAGGGAATCCATTCGTTCTATATCATTGTGTTGAGCCAGGTAGCATCCCCAGAGGAGGAGAGTGTCAGCGAGAGTGAGGAGAGCAAAGAGCAGGAGGGGACATAGATTACTTTGCCCGCCCCGAGCCATCTATGTTACAGATGTTTTTAGAACAGCACCCACAACAACATACCAGAAATCCAGTTGTGCAGAAGGTATTCACCTGTAAAGATGGCACCAGCAGAAAGTGGCTTACATATTGCAAGGGACGTCATATGTTGTTTTGTTTTGTATGTCTGGCATTTGGGAAGAGGACTGACACTGGCACATTTATAACTGGAATGTCAGATTGGAGGCACGCACACCAGCGTACAGAGGAGCACGAAAAGAGCATTACACATTCAACCTGTACTGAAGCTTTTTTCTTACGGTGCTCTAAAGCAGACATCGAAAGCATGTTTGCTGGCAGTCAGATGTCTGCTCATAGGGAACAAGTCCGAAAGAGACGCCAGGTTTTGGAGCGTGTGGTGAAAGAGTTTAGGAAGAGAGGGCTAAACTACAGGCAGGTGGAGAATGAGGGAGCATATATGCTAGCTTACAACACCGTGGACCATGGTAACTTTTTGGAGCTCATCCTTTTATTAGGAAAGTATGATGTCTGCTTAAAAGAGCATCCTTTTTGACTCTCCCAAAGCCCCCAAACTACACGCAAACAGACACACACACACAAACTCCTACCCCGAGGAATGGACGCTGGACATAATGCCCCTCTCCACAACAAGCATTAATTTTAGTTATTTCAGTCTAGTATATATATATCTTGCTAGTTGTGTACTTTTGTAATTTATGTGGGCATACCCCCCCAGACCCCCCTATTAGTGCTCGGTCACTGTTCGCTTTGTGAGAGGGTTTGAAGGTCTAATTTCTAATGATTGATAGTTACACATACTTGTAGTATGTGTTAGTTTTGTTTGCCCCTGGTACGTAAAAAGGATAATAATAATAGCGTTTTTATAAATTAGACTGAGTTATTCTTCTTGTCAGGAACCGCTACTATTCGTTTGTTTTATGGATTTGGGCCGGTCTGGGTCTAAATGCCAGGGCCGATTTGCTGTCCCAGTCCAGCCCTGGATGGATAGGAGGTTGGCTTCTGATGAGCGGAGGCAGCGGGAAGGGGTGTGGTGGTGCAGCAGGTCAATGAGGTAGGGGGGGGGCCTGATTGTTGAGGGCTTTGTGAGTAATCAGGAGGACTTTGAAGTTGATTCTTTGACGGACGGGGAGCCAGTGGAGGTTCTGGAGGACGGGAGTGACGTGGTCTCGGGAGCGGGTGTGGATGAGGAGGCGGGCAGCAGAGTTCTGGATATGTTGGAGTTTATTGAGGAGGTTGGATGGTATGCCGTAGAGCAGTGGTTCCCAAACTTTTTGTGCCCAAGGCACACCAAAGGACAAGTAAAAATCTCAAGGCACACCT